GGAATGTTTTAAAATCAGTTTGCTTTCAGTTTTGAGGTAGTACATCTTGGGAAGAATATCAACTGATTCTAATGATTTTTTTTTTTTTTGAAAATGTTCAATATAGTCAATGTTCCCTGCAAGTGCATTATTTTATATTTCAGTGAAGTTACATGCTAGATTTTACTGTTAATTTTCATCTACATGTAAATTCCTTCAAAAGTATTTTTGAATTTATTGAATGTATTTATTTTTATTTTATTTGACCTTAAATTGTCTTGTTAATAATCAGGGGATCTTACTAATGATCAATTGTTTAAAGTGCTCATGCAAAATATAAGTTAATTAATTTGGGTAAATTATGGTAACTTAAATTTTTACTTAATTTTAACAAGTTAATATGGGTTAATTAAGATAACTTAAATTTTTAGCTCTTCTGAGCCGAAAGCTCAAAGAACTTATGCGATGGCCATTTGTGCGGTGTGCATCAACTTTTTAGCTCACCTGAGCCGAAGGCTCAAGTGAGCTTTTCTGATCAAAATTTGTCCGTTGTCTGTAAACTTTTCACAATTTCATCTTCTTCTCCAGAACTACTGGGCCAATTTCAACCAAACTTGGCACAGAGTATCCTTGGGTGAAGGGGATTCAAGTTTGTTCAAATAAAGGACCACGCCTTCTTCCAAGGGGAGATAATCATGAATTCATGAAAAATTAATGGCATCATTTAAAAATCTTCTTCTCAAGAACCACTGTGCTTGAAAATATGAAACTTATATGGAAGCATCCTCAGGTAGTGTAGATTCAAGTTTGTTCAAATCATGACCCCCGGGGGTAGGGTGGGGCCACAATGAGCGATCAAAGTTTTACATAGGAATATATAGGAAAACTCTTTAAAAATCTTCTTCTCAAGAACAGCAAAGCCATGATTGGTCATATTTATATGGAAGCATTCTCAGGTAGTGTAGATTCAAGTTTGTTCAAATCATGACCCCCGGGGGTAGGGTGGGGCCACAATGAGCGATCAAAGTTTTACATAGGAATATATAGGAAAACTCTTTAAAAATCTTCTTCTCAAGAACAGCAAAGCCATGATTGGTCATATTTATATGGAAGCATTCTCAGGTAGTGTAGATTCAAGTTTGTTCAAATCATGACCCCCGGGGGTAGGGTGGGGCCACAATGGGCGATCAAAGTTTTACATAGGAATATATAGGAAAACTCTTTAAAAATATTCTTCTCAAGAACAGCAAAGCCATGATTGGTCATATTTATACTGAAGCATCCTCAGGTAGTGTAGATTCAAGTTTGTTCAAATCATGACCCTCGGAGGTAGGGTGGGGCCACAATGGGCGAACAAAGTTTTACATTGGAATATATAGGAAAACTCTTTAAAAATCTTCTTCTCAAGAACAGCAAAGCCATGATTGGTCATATTTATACTGAAGCATCCTCAGGTAGTGAAGATTCAAGTTTGTTCAAATCATGACCCCCAGGGGTAGGGTGGGGCCACAATGGATGATCAAAGTTTTAAATAGGAATATATAGGAAAACTCTTTAAAAATCTTCTTCTCAAGAACAGCAAAGCCATGATTGGTTATATTTATGTAGTAGCATCCTCAGGTAGTGTAGATTCAAGTTTGTTCAAATCATGACCCCCGGAGGTAGGGTGGGGCCACAATGGGCGATCAAAGTTTTACATAGGAATATATAGGAAAATTCTTTAAAAATCTTCTTCTCAAGAACAGCAAAGCTATGATTGGTCATATTTACATGGAAGCATCCTCAGGTAGTGCAGGTTCAAGTTTGTTCCAATCATGACCCCCTGGGGTAAGGTGGGGCCACAATGGGTGATCAAAGTTTAACATAGGAATACATAGGAAAAATTTGTGAAAATCTTTTTCTCAAGTACAGCAAAGCCATGATTTTTTTTATGGGTGCATCCTCAGGTAGTATAGATTCAAGTTTGTTTAAATTATGACCTCCCAGGGGTAGGGCTGGGCCACAATGGGTGATCAAAGTTTTACATAGGAATACATAGAAAAAAGCAAGCCTTTTAAAATCTTCTTCTGAAGAACAGCAAAGCAATAATTCGTCATATTTAAATGCAATCATCCTCAGGTAATTTAGATTCAAATTTGTTCAAATCATGACCCCCCAGGAAAATAGAGGGGCCATAACAGGGGATCATAGTTATACAAAGGAATACAAATGATATATCATTAAAAATTGTCTTCCTAAGAAAAGCATAGCCATTATTTGTCATATTAATTCAAAAGCATCCCTTTGAAGTATAGATTCAAGTTCAAATTCCCCCCCCCCCCCCCTCGAACCACTTTTATATCAAAACTTTTAAAGACTGAACTGATTTCTGCTTTTTCCTAGCCAGAATGCTCAGGTGAGCGATGTGGCCCCTGGGCCTCTTGTTGGAATATGGGCCATAACTCAAGAACCCCTTGACTAATTTTTGTCAAATTTGTCACAGAGCATCCTTGGCCCAAGGGCTCTCATTTGTACTAAAAATAGGGATGGGACCCTTAAACAAGGGGAGATAATTAGGAAAGTAAAAACAAAAGTACTGGTTGCTAAAAAATCTTCTTCTCAAGAACCACAGGGCAGATTATCACCAAACTTACATACAAGGATGAGGATATGTTGTAGATTAAAAATTGTTCAAGGCATCACCCTGAGGCAAAGGGTGTGTTCTCAAGGTCACTTCAAAGTTGACCAAAAATTACATTTTATTAAATTGTAGATATTTTTTGCTTACTATAAGGCCTAGGATCATCAAATCTTGTCAGTTGATGCATCTTTGGACCTCATATCATATTGATTCAAAAGTAGGTCATGGTGACCTACTTTTTGAATTTTGCAGGTATTCATTTTCATTTTGATGCATAACTTGGATACTTGGAAGCCTATGATCATCAAAACTTGTCAGTGTATGCATCATGGGACCTTGAAGTGTGTCAACTAAAAAGTAGGTCACCATGACCTACTTTCTGAATTTTATGGCTAATTATTTTCTAGACATTAAAGGTCATTATTTCAGATACTAAGAGGATTAGAATCATCAAACCTTGTAAGTTAATGCACCTAGGAGCCTTAAAACAGATTTATCAAATAGTAGGTCACAGTGACCTATGTCTGGAATTTTACAAGTATTCATTTTCAAATTGATTTAGAGGCATATTTTGGACACTTTGTAGCATAGGATCATCAAACTTTGTCAGTTGGTGCATCTTGAGTCCTCCGAGTGTCAACCAAAAAGTAGGTTACCTTGACCTACTTTTGCAATTTTATGGCTTAATTTAAATAATTCAGATACAATGAACTAACTGGCTTAGAATCATCAAACTATTGCAGTTGATGTTGAGTCCTAAGAGGATATCGACCAAAAAGTAGGTCACCGTGACCTACTTTTGCAATTTCGTGGCTAAATTTGAATATTTCAGATACTAATTGGCTTTGAATTATCAAACTTTGTCAGTTGATGCATCTTGGGTACCTGAAGTGTGTCAACAAAAAAGTAGGTCACTGTGACCTACTTTTAGAATTCACTGGCTTTTTCAGTTACCAATTGGCTTAGAATCATCAAACTTTGTCAGTTGATGCATTTTGGGTCCTCAAAGTGTGTCAACCAAAAAGTAGGTCACTGTGACCTACTTTTGGAATTTGATTGCTATTTCAGATATTTACTGGCTTAGAATAATCAAATTTTGTCAGTTTATTTTGGGTACCCGGAGTGTGCTGACCAAAAAGTAGGTCACCATGACCTACTTTTGCAATTTCATGGCTATTTAAGATAGTACATGTAATTGGCTTAGAATCATTAAACTTTGTCAGTTGATGCATTTTGAGTCCTCAAAGTATGTCAACCAAAAAGTAGGTCACTGTGACCTACATGTACTTTTGGAATTTGATTGCTATATTTCAGAGACTAATTGGCTTAGAATAATGAAATTTTGTCAGTTGATACATCTTGAGTCCTCGGAGTGTATCAACCAAAAAGTAGGTCACTCTGACCTACTTTTGCAACTTCATAGCTAAATTTAAATATTTCAGATACTAATTGGCTTTGAATTATCAAACTTTGTCAGTAGTTGCCATGCTAACTTGCTTGGAATTTCAAGGCTTTATACTTATATACAGCTATAGGTGACCAGGAGCTTAAAACAGATGAGATTATAGGTTGTACAATTTTCAGAAGAGTGATTCTAGGCCCTTGGGCCTCTTGTTACTTAACCCTGTCCATACTTGATTAAATTATTTCACAGTTGTGTGTTAGAAAATCCATAATATATTAAATATAACATTCTAGGTTAACTTGTTTTTAAATTCATAATAATTAAGTTACATGTAACTCAGGTTAATTTGATCCAAATTGATTTCATCAGTTACTTGAATGTGTTTTTTTTAAAGATAAATAATTATATTTATTAATTATTTTTGCCTCCAGAATGGAGTTTAGTTTCGATCTGCCACTGATTAAATTATTTGTTGTGGAGATTTAAAGTTTAGAATTTTTTTGATCAAAGTACTTGGAAAATATTCATTTTGTAGATTGCAAGAGAAATTATGAAAATCTTCATTATCTAGATTGCAACAGAAATAATACAAAATTTGATCTGTCGCAGAGACAGGATTGAAAAATGAGTCTGAAATGTGGGTGATGGTAGATTGCTCAAATATAGAGAAGATTTGCTTTCTCTGCATGAACAATTAGAGTGTTTAATTTTGGGGATAAAAAACTATAACAATTAATCTGAATTATTAAAGAAAAATATAATATAAATCTAAATGTATCTTAAAAAGTACATGTATTTTTTATTGTTGGTGTTGTGTTTTAAGTAAAATTTTTTGTATAAATTTATTTTGTAGTATGTATGCAAGATGCAAATAACTACTTTTAAAAAAAAATCATAAAGATGGTTTATATTTAGAAGTTGTTTCAGAATTTCTGATAATATATTCTGCATTAATTATATATGTATATATTTTTAAAAAATATACGTTTTCAACAGATTTGAGCCAAATCCGTCCAGTGTATGCCCCAAAAGATTTCCTAGAAGTCATCATAAGTTTACAGAACCCAAACAATCATGGTTCAGACACTCCTGGGTTAGTTTATTTAATTAAAGTCAATGTAGCGTAAAAGTTCATCAATCAGCTTTTATGGTTCACAAAACAACTTTTATGTACTCAGCTAGCAATAGTAATTAAAGTTTTATATATATAAAGTTAACTTAATTTCTTCTGTGGTCTTGATTAATGTTTTCTTTTGAACACCTTTTCCTCAAATAAAAAATGAAACTTTTAATATCTAAAATCTAAATACTAGATGATTTCAACAAGCAGTTGGAATGATTTTCTTTCATTGCATGACATATTTGCAGATTTTACCATCTCTGGGGAATTGTGCAAGTTCCTCTAAATGTCAAGGACATTGATGAATTGGTAGGCTTTTTTTAATCAATTGCTTAAAACTTAGTGACATGTCTGTTATAATTTCTGTAAATAAATTACATGCTTGCATTCAAAACATAGTACCAGTAATTAATACATTTAAAAAAAATTAATATGATATAATTTTTTCCCTCATTATGCAGTTCTAGTTGTCTTGATGATCAGAAAGTTTGTCAGGATATTATTTCTTTGTGTGTAATCCTCTTCAGAGACTCCAGTACAGTGATATGTCAATCAATCAATGTCAGTCAGGGATCGACGATTGTCAAGATATTCCATCAGAACTCTTCGAACAGGAAAGGGTCAAACTAGGAAAGAAAGGTATAGAACAATCCATCATCTAAATGAGACGGAGACAAAAATTGACAGATCTTTCAATCGATTTTTATTGAGACTGTGTAGGGCTGATTAATTTCATCTCTTTTATTCCAAAGGTGGTATATTTATTATGTTTTAATTTTAATCACAAATTAAAGTGTTCTTCATATTTTTTCTGACTACATCATGTTTGAAAGAATGGCATACATGTAGTGTAATTGATTAATCAATTAAAAATTGAATTACAAATTTAACTGTTTTTAGCTCACCTGAGCCTAAGGCTAATGTGAGCTTTCTTGATTGAAATTTGTCTGTTGTCTGTCGTTGTCACCGTTGTAAACTTTTCACATTTTTATCTTCTTTTTAAGAACCACTGGGCCAATATCAACTGAACTAGCCACAAAGTATCCTTTGGTAAAGGGAATTCAAGTTTGTTCAAATGAAGGGCCACGTCTTATTCCAAGGGGAGAATTACAAATCAGTAAAAAATTAATGTTATCATTTAACCAGACGTCTCTGACGAGACTGTAGCTCTCCTGGTTTGTACTTATATTGAAGGAAGATAAAAGTAGCACTTGGACTTGAAACTTTGCAACAGCAATAAATAGAATAATGATCCTTGGTTTAGTCTCTTTTTGTGGCAAGATTTATTGCAATCAGACTAAAACTGTAGGAAGAGTAGCCATTTGAAAGAATTTTACAGAAATTTCAATTTTAGTAACCATGGCAACATCATTCAACAAAATCAAGAAAACAATAAAGACAATTATGTAACTTAGTGTAGTCTACTTGTGTGCCAAGTTATACTGAAATCAGACCAAAACTATAGGAAGAATAGCATTTTGAAAGTATTTCACAGAAATTTCTATTTTTAGTAACCATCGCAACACCGTTCATCGAAATCAAAAACCAATAAATAGAATTATGTATTTTAGTGTAGTCTTCTTGTGTGCCAAGTTATATTGAATCAGATCAAAACTGTAGGAGGAGTAGCATTTTGAAAGTATCTCAAGGAAATTTCTATTTTTAGTAACCATGGCAACTCCATTCATCGAAATCAAGAAAACAATAAAGACAATTATGTATCTTAGTGTAGTCTACTTGTGTGCCAAGTTATACTGAAATCAGACCAAAACTGTAGGAAGAGTAGCATTTTGAAAGTATTACAGAGAAATTTCTATTTTTAGTAACCATGGCAACACCGTTCATCAAAATTAAAAACCGATACACAGAATTATGTATCTTAGTGTAGTCTACTTGTGTGCTAAGTTATGCTGAAATCAGATCAAAACTGTAGGAGGAGTAGCCATTTTGAAAGTATCTCAAGGAAATTTCTATTTTTAGTAACCATGGCAACTCCATTCATCAAAATAAAAAAAAAAACGATATACAGAATTATGTATCTTAGTGTAGGAAGAGTAGCATTTTGAAAGTATTACAGAGAAATTTCTATTTTTAGTAACCATGGCAACACTGTTCATCAAAATTAAAAACCATTACACAGAATTATGTATCTTAGTGTAGTCTACTTGTGTGCCAAGTTATGCTGAAATCAGACCAAAACTGTAGGAAGAGTAGCATTTTGAAAGTATTACAGAGAAATTTCTATTTTTAGTAACCATGGCAACACCGTTCATCAAAATTAAAAACCGATACACAGAATTATGTATCTTTGTGTAGTCTACTTGTGTGCTAAGTTATGCTGAAATCAGATCAAAACTGTAGGAGGAGTAGCCATTTTGAAAGTATCTCAAGGAAATTTCTATTTTTAGTAACCATGGAAACTCCATTCATCAAAATAAAAAAAAAAACGATATACAGAATTATGTATCTTAGTGTAGGAAGAGTAGCATTTTGAAAGTATTACAGAGAAATTTCTATTTTTAGTAACCATGGCAACACCGTTCATCAAAATTAAAAACCAATACACAGAATTATGTATCTTAGTGTAGTCTACTTGTGTGCCAAGTTATGCTGAAATCAGACCAAAACTGTAGGAAGAGTAGCATTTTGAAAGTATTACAGAGAAATTTCTATTTTTAGTAACCATGGCAACACCGTTCATCAAAATTAAAAACCGATACACAGAATTATATATCTTAGTGTAGTCTACTTATATGCCAAGTTTTACTGAAATCAGATCAAAACTGTAGGAGGAGTAGCGTTTTGAAAGTTTCTCAAGGAAATTTCTATTTTTAGTAACCATGGCAACTCCATTCATCAAAATAAAAAAAAAAACGATATACAGAATTATGTATCTTAGTGTAGGAAGAGTAGCATTTTGAAAGTATTACAGAGAAATTTCTATTTTTAGTAACCATGGCAACACTGTTCATCAAAATTAAAAACCATTACACAGAATTATGTATCTTAGTGTAGTCTACTTGTGTGCCAAGTTATACTGAAATCAGACCAAAACTGTAGGAAGAGTAGCATTTTGAAAGTATTACAGAGAAATTTCTATTTTTAGTAACCATGGCAACACCATTCATCAAAATTAAAAACCGATACACAGAATTATGTATCTTTGTGTAGTCTACTTGTGTGCTAAGTTATGCTGAAATCAGATCAAAACTGTAGGAGGAGTAGCCATTTTGAAAGTATCTCAAGGAAATTTCTATTTTTAGTAACCATGGAAACTCCATTCATCAAAATAAAAAAAAAAACGATATACAGAATTATGTATCTTAGTGTAGGAAGAGTAGCATTTTGAAAGTATTACAGAGAAATTTCTATTTTTAGTAACCATGGCAACACTGTTCATCAAAATTAAAAACCAATACACAGAATTATGTATCTTAGTGTAGTCTACTTGTGTGCCAAGTTATGCTGAAATCAGACCAAAACTGTAGGAAGAGTAGCATTTTGAAAGTATTACAGAGAAATTTCTATTTTTAGTAACCATGGCAACACCGTTCATCGAAATTAAAAACCGATACACAGAATTATATATCTTAGTGTAGTCTACTTATATGCCAAGTTTTACTGAAATCAGATCAAAACTGTAGGAGGAGTAGCGTTTTGAAAGTTTCTCAAGGAAATTTCTATTTTTAGTAACCATGGCAACACCGTTCATCGAAATCAAAAACCAATACACAGAATTATGTGTACTTATGTAGTCTACTTGTGTGCCAAGTTATACTGAAATCAGACCAAAACTGTAGGAGGAGTAGCGTTTTGAAAAATTGTTTACAGACGGACGGACAGACAGACAGACAGACGGACGATGGACACCTTACTATCGCACAAGCTCTTCAGGTCTCTGACCAGTAGAGCTAAAAATCTTTTTCTCAAGAATCAGTGTGCTAGAAAATATGAAATTATGTGAAATCATCCTCAGGCAGTGTAGATTCAAGTTTGTTCAAATCATGGCCCCAGTGGGTAGGGTTGGGCCACAATGGGCGATCAATGTTTTAGATAGGAATAAATAGGGAAAAGCTTTAAAAGTCTTCTTAAGAACAGCAAAGCCATGATTAGTCATATTTATGAAGAAGCATCCTCAGGTAGTGTAGATTCAAATTTGTTCAAATCATGATCCACAGGAGTAGGGTGGGGCCACAATAGGCAATTTATGTTCTACATAGGAATACATAGGGAAAATCTTTAAAAATCTTACTCTCAAGAACAGCAAGGCCGTAATTGGTCACAATAAAATAAAAGCATCCTCAGGTAATGTAGATTCAAATTTGTTCAAATCATGACCCCTCAGGAGTATAAAGGGGCCATAACAGGGGATCATAGTTATACAAAGGAATATAAAGGATATATTAATAAAAAGTTCTTCTTATGAACAGCAAAGCCATTAATATCATATTAATTCAAAAGCATAGATGGTGTAGATTCAAGTTCATTGAAATCATTACTACCTCCCCCAAACCATCTTTATATCTAACTTTTCAATATTGAACTGATTTCAGCTTTTCCCTAGCCAAAGTGCTCAGGTGAGCGATGTGGCCCATAGGCCTCTTTTTCATTATAGGCCTAAAAAAATGGTTTGTTTCTGCTTTGCTGACCAACTTTACTTTATAGCACTTGCAATTTATAGCCCTAATTTCTTAAACGCTTTTTTTTTTCAGAGCAGAAATGAATATTCCATTTTTTGTCCTATGTATACAAATTTCTACTATAACTTTAATTAAACCACAGAAATGTTTTAAAACACTATATCTTTTTTTTTTTCATCAGTGTTATTTAGAGATGTTTTTTTTTTAAAATCCAGGAATAAAATTTCAAAACAAGAAATGCTCACCTACATACATTTTTTCAGCATGAAAGCCGAAACATATTTTTTTCTAGGCCTAATGCATCTTCACTGTATAAGATTGACACTGAAATTATTGTGTTATAAGAATTCATTTCACCATTGAACCTTTCAGTGATAAATGCAAATCATGGCCCTCTTGCTCAAGAATTTTCTAAGAAAGGGTGCCCCACTAGCATGCGCGCTACACTGTGGTGTCAAATACTGGCAATTGAGGTGGATGAAATTGTAAGTTTTAAAACTGTAAACATATGTTATTTTTAATTCTTAAAAAAAAATTGAACATATTTTTAATATGCATAGCAAAGAATAAACAATTAAATATCTTAATGCTCTTTCCTTTTATTTTACATTTTTGAAACATTTTAATATCTTATGCATTAAAATTTTAGCTAAAATGGTGTCACCCATTTGTTATATGTGTCTTAGCACAAATCACTCCAAGGGAATTAATTAACAAACTCTTGAGACATACATTTAGATTTTATGTTCAGTTAGAGAAGATTTTTTGAGAGCTTTTCACTTCACTTCAATTAAGTTTCAAAACAACTTCAACAATTTACTGTATTTTTGGAGAAAAAAACTTATTAGTCTGTTTCTTGCAACATCATTATTTTCAGACAATTGGCACCTAATGTATCTGAGTGTATATTTCAGGATATCCTCTATTATGAACAACTGAAAACAAACGTGCTGCAACATGACTTGTTAGTTGACAGTCTACTTTACAAGGTTGGTTAGTGTAAATTATTGGGATGTAAGTATCACTGTTAGAGAAATAGATGAGACCATTGGGTGTCATAATAATAAACATGTATTTCTCCCAGTTTTTAAAGTGTTATATCACTTGTGAAATGTTTTGTAGAAACAACCACATATTTCATTGAATTGATTAATGTGTCTGCATGCACTAGCTGACAATATCAGTAAAATCTTTTTCTTTCATGTTTCAAAAACACAGCATTAACACTGTCTTTTAGGATGAATTTGTAGAAACCATTTTGATAAAAGAATCATGTTTTTGTCATTAGAATTTGCATTTGTCTCTTGTTAAAATAATCTTAAAGTAGAACTCAATATATCCAACAGATGTTTTTTATGTTGATTATTTGAAAAGAAATTTTGACTTCTTCCTTTAAAATATGATACCTTTGATTTGAAAATAGTTAAATCAAAGGTGAACATGAAACAAAAAATTGCATTTGGTTTAATTTACATGTATTAATTAAATTTATAAAGATGAGTTAAAAAGTTTTTAACAAAAATGAAAATGATGCATTGAATTCACTGATCATAACTAAGTGGTACTGATGCATGTTCTCATAAGATTAAGAAAGAGAGTAAATTTAGTTTAATAAGAGAGTTTTTTAAAGTTTAATTGAATGCTTTTGATATAGTTTATGCTTGTATTAATTCCATAAAATGTCATCCTTGATTAATTGATTGATTATTTTTTTTGGAATTAACAGGATGTGAAGCTAACTGCCACGAATGATGACCAGTATTTCGTTTTTGAGGACTTTTTATATCAGGTAATTTTCACTGACCAGAGTTCTCCTTCTTGCCATTATCCTTTACTAGATGAAATCTACACACCATCCTGTATCCCCTACCTATAAAATATACATGTACACACCAACATGTATCCTCTCCAGACTAAAAAAATATACTAGTGAAAACAGTCTAGAAAATTCATGGACATATTCTAAATCCCACATATGGGTGAATTCAAAAAAAATGACCACCAAACTGAATTTTTTTGGCAAAATTCAACTACTTGTAACATATTTTTCACTTATATCATCATATTGCAAATGCATTCTAGTTTAAAATCCTGAAGTGGCAATAGAATAGACAATTGAATTAAAAAGTTTCAGAATTTTTATTAGAAAAATTTCTTTTGAAAAAAGAAAATATCATTACACCTTAAAAGACTTTCTAAAATACATAATCACAACAAATTATAGTTTTTTATGCTTCAAAATGGTAAAAGGGGTATAAATGATTAAATCTAGATCTTGAATGAGTATCTTCTCTTGTACATGTGACAAGAAATTGGCTTTTTGATTGTTATTTTACATTATTTTTTCAATTCTGGTTTGAAAAGTTTTAATATGAAAAAAATATGAAGCAATAAAATTCCCCAAAATTCACTTTTTTGTCCGTTCAAGTCAATTCTTTAAATCAAAGCCAAAAAAGAATTGTTTTATACGAGTTCTTTTACAAAAAATACTAGATTTTGAAGTGACCCTATTCTACATTATTGTGTTGCACTCCTGACATCTGATATGTACTTTATTTAACATTGTTTTAAAAATTATAACACACAATAACCCATTCTTGCTTTGTAAATCAATTTGCCATGTTGATATTTTTCATCGTTTACAGCAGGTTTTTCATATGTTGAAGACCTTAAAACATGATTATTTGCAAAGTGTAATATATATAAAATGTATTTAAAATATATGTGAAATGATGAAAACTATTCCCTGAATTGACTGTAAAATTTCTGTAATTTGTTGATAGACATAGTGTTTTGAACATCAAATAGTATCAAGCATTTTTTTTTCAACTTATTTTTTAGTAAAGATAGTTAAAAAGCATTCGTAATTATGAAGCAGTTTTGTTGCACTCCTGACTGCAGTAAAGTTTAAAATTAAAACCATAGAACACAAAAATTCATAAAGTATTGGCAACATCAAGTGGTAATGAAATTGTGCAATACTTATAGTCCAATACTTCATAATTAAAACAGATGAAAGTATTTAAAATTCGCATTTTATCTGGAATTATACCCTATTTTATGCCCAAAAACTAGCTTAAATGTATATTTAGAAGATAAAATATATTTTAAAGCATATTTTCCTTTAGAAGACAAACACAGTAACCCACCAGAGAAATTCTACTCATCATTTTTTCTTTATTTTTATTCTTAGTGGATGATTTATAATTCTAACATATTTGTTGCACTCCTGACCAAAAGCATTGGGGCCTTTAAAGTAGAATTGTGAAGTGAAAATTACAAAAGAACTTGTTCTGTTGTTTCAGTGAAGTTGAGGGGGAATTACTTGAATTTAATGACAATGTTTTAGTGTGTTTATTTTTAACATTCATTAAAAAAATCACAAAAAGATAAAAACACATCTGAATTGATAAAATGGAAAAAAGGAAGGATTTTAATAATAAAACTGTCAATAATTTAGCATTAAATTATACAAAAAGATCATTATTAATTAATGAATACTTCTAAGCATGAATAGAAGTCTTTTCGTCACACAACTTGAATCTTTTAAAAAATGTGTTGCACTCCTGACCACAGAAATATGGATCTGAAGCACAGACAGATCCTGTAATTGATAAATCTATTTGGTAAAAATGTTCTTTGTGTCTTTATTTTCCAAAATAAAAATCAGAAAATCATATAATGATAATAGTTTTTTCATGCTTGGGAGTAAAACATCAAATGTTGCACTCCTGACATTTTGGGGTATGCACATATACTTGACTCTCATTAATGCTGCTTGTGATTTATATAACATTTTTAAGTTTTAAAATGTATATCAGTTATTATTTTACACTTCCAAAATTCTTTTTTGTCTTAATTTTCTATCAGAATTTTACAATTGATGTTTTTTTGGCAACACTACATTTTTTCTGTTGCACTCCTGACATGGTATAACATTTTTTTAAACATCAGCCATGACCACAACTTGCTTAAACAAAAGTTATGACAGTCCACATTTAAAGCTCAATACTTTGAATATTATCAGGAAAGTCTTTAATTTCAACATGAAGCATTATTTTTTATTTCACAGATCTCCAAAAAATATTGAAATTTCAAAATGTCACAAAAAGGTGTTGCACTCCTGACAATTTTAGCATCATTTTTGGGCATAACTTTTTTGTTAATTGAGATATCAACGAGATATTTGGCAGGTATTTAGACACTATCTAAAGACATATGCTGAGACATAGAAATCTATTTTCATTGCCTGTATTTTTAGTGTGGGTTGATAAATATGCATTTGGTCATTTTTTTTGAATTCACCCATATATATATTTATTTGGAGCTATCTTCAATAATTATACCTATTTTTTTAAATAACAAATCAGTTAAAGACAATTTATATCATCCTTCCCGTAGTGGAAACCCAAATTTTAAACCCACCCCCTGTATGTAAGAATGTTTAAAAATGTACATGTACACTGGTGCAAGCATTTGAATATTTCTTAATTTGGCATTTTATATACTTGAAATACTATAGACAGTCTTTAATTTGCAGTTATTATTGCATGGATTAAAGTAAACCAAAAGGTAATGAATAACCAAAACAAAGATTTTATTTTCATTTTTATTTTGGTTTTACTTTCAGATTCTGTTACCATTTTCAAGAGATACATGTGTATTGAAACACTTTGATTATAACAGTGCAAGCCCCCCTAAATCATATATCCGTGGGAGGTTAGGCATGGATGAGTTTGCTGTGAATTACCCCCCAAATGGTGTGATTCCCTTCCATGGATTTGCTATGTATGGTATGTACTTGTTATCAATGATGTTTGGGGGTGAGGGATAGGGAAAAAGTTATACATGGAGTTTGATTTATTCATTTTTATTTAAAGTGCTTTTTGACATGGTTTTCAGTCAAACTGCAATTATGTGAATTTGAGCATCATTTTTCAGACATTTTAAGATCAGTTGATTGATATTTCTCATAAACTGTTAGATAAGAACTTCCTTTAACATTCCAGAACAAAGTTTTTTTTTTTCAGAACTGTCTTTCATGTTGATAAGTGCAATAAAAGGGACAAATAAAATGTGTTTATGGTAATGTTTTGTCCAAAATTAGGTTAGTAAATATATTTATTTACTGGTATAGGAAAAAAATCACTCATGACTGCTGCTTTTAGTTTGGAATTTTATGGACATGCAAATGTGTGCAGTGACACCTATCTCAAAAATTTGTACAGGCCAACACTGAAATCTAGGAGCCTACAATTTGTAATTTGTCATTAGTTTTTAAATTCACAAATATATATATATATATATATATATATATATATATATATATATATATATATATATATATATATATATATATATATAATTATAATTATATATATATTAGGGATGTCAATTTTATTCGGACAGCTTAGTCGAATAGTCGGAGGCTTTAGTCGAACGATAGTCGAATATTCGTTGAAATTTAAATCAATGTTTCATGTCATTTTACTATTTGTCTTTTATAGACTAGTTGTACAATATTTATACTATGCTATCAACATTATACAACGAATCTCTGAATCGTAAACATTTACGTTGTACAATAAATACATCTACATGTATCCACTGTATTTGATTTCAAATATAATATTTACTTCACATTTTATCTAAATTTTATCTAAATGCAGAATATCAAACACTGGCATTTGTCCTTTTTTTTTCATAAGGCAGGTACATGTACCCGTTACTTGAAGTCATTTGTACGTGTTTTGTTAGTGATCTATAGCTATGACTGGTAAACAATTAAAGCGTGTCTCTTATAAAAACAGAGAGAGAGCTTGCGATAACTTTTAATTATGAGATTTTGTGCAAATAATCAATACAATCTTAAAATGACTGCATGATATTAATATCAGAAAGAAACACCATTTAATTACGCTAACTGTCCTCCAGTTAACATGTATTTACAATTTTGTAAAAGCTGTTTAATTATTCTTTATGAATATTGCATTACGTCAAATCTTATGGAATTGCAGGTTGAAACTTTATCATTTAAATCAAAACCAAACAATTCTTGAATGCCCTCTCCATTTACAACAATAATAGGTAGACATTCCTTGATAATCATGTTTATGTTAGCAACATTTTCCTTTCCGGCTCTGCTTTTTTGTCATTTTTGCGGAGAAGTTACTAGGAAAGTTTTACTTTTAAGACTATATGTTTGACGGATTCGGCATACGATACATAATATTTGATGTTCCACTGCAGAATACAAGTTCAGTTTCACAGAAACTTGATAACTTACTTTTCACTGTTTTTCCATCCTAACATCATATAAAGTATGCCAAAAACTGTAGATTTTGGAGGCATGTTTGCCGAACATAAATCGACATATACATAATTTCCTTTGAACAATTAAACCTTATCCCGAATTTTACTTACGATCTTGATCTGTAAATAAATGAAATGGGCGGATCCAAGTTCATTACCTTGAATTTAAAATTACTATTAGCTAACACATTTTTAACGAATAACCGACTAAAGAAATTTTAGTCGATAGTCTGTATGATCGAACGATAGTCGAGTACTCGAATATTTGTTGACATCCCTAATATATATATATATATATATATATATATATATATATATATATATTTGGAATGTCTTTTTGCAAATTTAACATTGTATTCTCTGTAGCACCTGTCAAGTATCTCATGTAAAATCATTGTTCATCATAACATGTACCGTATATACTCACCTATAAGTCAGTTGTATTTTTTGAGGTTATTTTGGAGGGATTTGCCATTGACCCGCTTATAAGTGGGTACAACTTTTTGCCAGAATCAGTTGACAATTTTAAACCAATGCTCCGATGTTTTAACCTGTTTTCGATTAATATTTTTAGAAATGACTCTGATATTTAATTTTAAATCATTCAAAAAATACATAATGCAAACTTAAAATAAATTTATTAAAATATGTAAATACTTGTACTTTACGTATAATCTTAAAATACATAAATGATATAATATATCTAGACTTTGTTCAACGATAATTGTGGGAAATGTTTATGAAATACTACATTTTGCCGTCCAGAAAAATACTAATCTTTTTATGACTCGCCTATAAGTCGGACATAGAGTTTTGGACAAAAATTTAACACCCCCCCCCCCCGAAAAAAACGACTTATAGGCGAGTACATGTATATACATTACCTGTGGACATGAGAAGTTTTGATTTCAAAATTTAAAGCACAAACAGTTAAAAGAAAATTCAAGGTTAAGTCAAGTCAACTTGTATTAAAATTATTTTCTGAAAGTTTGTCACAATCTGTGCTGCTTGCATTGATGCCCCCCTGGTTTAAATTGTTTCATTAGGCAAATAAGGAGATTTAAAAACCATAAGACTAGTGTAATTTGTTGCATAGATAAATAGTGATATCAATAGTCTCTATTATCAAAGAATTGGAGGTCAATGTTAGAAATGCAGATAATAACACAATAATGGGTGAAAATCTTATCTAATCTCTAAGCATATCTGCTCAGAATTTTAACCATGATTGTACAGGTGAATTGACATAGAAGATATATACATTTATTACAATGAGGGTGACGGAAAATGCTCAAATCGAGACTCCAAGTTTTATACAACAAAGACGGGAAGAAAAAGGAATTTGTCACCATGGATATTATAGCTCCCTGTTGAACAGTGCCTCAGTCTGTGTTTGTGTTTTACAAACACTTAGATTGAATGTCATTCCCTATGGTTAATGGAAATGATATTCCTGCCAGCTATGGTTACAGATGTAATGATGATGTTAATTTTCAATGTAAATTCTAGCAAAGCTGCCAATTTGCCCTATCTTTTTTCTTTTAAGACTTTGCTATTTTAATGGTTACATCTAGAACAATATTGTTGATGTTAAAGGTGTTGATATAAGTCCCAGTAGTATAATTAACAGTTGAAATAAATCCTGAGTGTGTTCTTGTTTTTGAATAGAAATATTATATCCCGTTTTGTGTTTTTATAAAGCTGAAAACAATTTGTTGTAAAATATTCTTCACCAACACAAAAAAATATATATATATATTTCAATTAAATAACAAACAAGTATTCTCATTAAGCTAATAAATTCAACGGAATGTTGTTTTGCTCTCTCTCCTGCTTAGGGACATTCATTTAATCTGCACAATTTTATTCAAGCTTTTAAAATTGATGAAATGGAAACAAACAATTGATGTTTGGTGAGTAGTAAATATTTCCTTACTGCATTATTGAAGTGATGTTTTATATTGATCCATTCCTCACTTCACAAAAAAATTGTGTTAAGAATTCTCTGTGCAATAAAATTGTCAGCCATTAACAAATGATTAGAATGACAATATTCAGATTTATTTTTACCAGGCCACCAAATTTGTGCGGAAAGTTGTCGATTTTCCTATTAAGTGTGGTTGACACTTGATTATGTTTATAATTTGACAAAACAGTGCATCACTTCAATAAATGTCATTGGGTTGATTTTTTCCCTCAATATTCACACGTTGAGTCACATATATAGGAAGCAGCATTCAGCAATACTGCATCTAATTTTCAAAGAAAAGAAACATGGGGAACATTGAAAGGTTGTCCACTTAATCTTTATAATGATGAAAATCACCAATTGTTCATTATATTAAAGCTTCTAAAGAGATCATGATCTAAGAAAAATGACCTTTGATAAAGATCATGGAAAATAATATAAGCATATATAGGTTAATTGTTAAACCTTTTAAAAAAGAGTCGCCCACACGGCAGAGTGGTTAGAGGGCTTCAATGTACATTCACAGAGTAAGGAGTTTATCCTTATAGTGCAGGCTTGAATGCCATTGTGGGACGTGGAGACTGGTCCTTCAGATGAGGATGTATAAACCAAGGTCCTGTGTTATGGTAGATGCTAGCACAAAAAAATCCCTTACTGCATGGTCCCCCGCTTAGAAAAGGGACTGCATGAAGGGAGTGGGCTGCTAAAGTGAAATGTTTGACAACCTAGTACTTAATTCATGGTTTATACAAGAAAATAAAAATATTTGTGCTAATTTGTATATATGAAAAACTTAAAGTGCTCCTACATTGATAAAAAGCATGAACCAGAAAATATTTATCTAATGCATTTGTTTGCAGCAAAAAATCCCAAAGTTTCTTTTCCTAGTAGTAATAAATAAAAAGTATTGAATTACTTGTATGTGCCAGAAATTCTTTGTGATCAATTTTTACTTCTTGCCATCCATACACATACTTACTGACTAGTTTTTGTGAGGGATAGAAATGATCCATGAGATCAAGACTTTACTGTCATTGATATAGAAATGTAACTATAATGAAATATATGCTTTTTAACTTTAACATTTATAAAATTATTCCTAGAAATGCTATTAAACTTCAACATTGAATTTCATGAAATTATATTCGTAGAAATTAATCGAAATGAAAAATATAACTTGATGCACTAATAGGCAGTATTGTACTTAAGGGGTCCACTGTGAAAATTGATGTGTATGAGAGATGCCACTTACTGTAATTTGCATGTATGACAGAATTATAAGATCTGGAATATTTTGAAAGAAAGATTCTTTGGGGGTAAAAACTTGATGTTAATTAATTTGCCTAGGGAGATCTGTGTACACAAGTAATAGGCAATTTCTTTCATTGATTAAGACTGTTCTTTGTTATTAAATAAAAGAAAATGTTTTCCTCTTTTGTTTGAAGACAAACAGTGAAAATTTTAAGTATTCGAAATATACATATCAGTATGTGTATGACTGATATACAATAAAAAGTTTTACATAATTTATGTATATACGGGGAGGGGGCTTCTCAAGAACAGTGTGGAATCAAGTTTTGTTAAAGTATGATCTCTTGGTGCTAGGTTGGGGCAACAATATTGGGTCTAATTTTTTCATAGTACAGTAAAGAAGGGGAAAATCTTTTTAAAAATCTGATGATGATGAACGGCAGGGCCAAGATTACTCAGGTGAGCATGATGGCTCAGGGGTCTCTTGTTTATAATGTTCATTATTTTATCATTTTGGTGACTTTTTAGTAGAGAATTTTTTAAAAGAAAAAAAGGAAATATGTTTTAAAAAGATGATTAAACAGTTTTCTTTTAGTTTCTTATATGTATTCTTTTACATGATAATGTGCTCCATACATTGTAGTTCATGCACTAGTACTGTTTTTCATTTGAGCTTCAACACCTTTAAACACCCACCCATGATAATTTAGGGAAAGCATAACATAAATAATTCACATGTATAGGATGGAAATTAGACACACGCAAAAAATTACTTACTAATATATTATTATGAAGATTGGAAGTGCCATTGGGAATTATAACGTCGTGAGTTATTTTCTGCTTGAGGACAAATCATCTTCCTTTTGAGGATTATTTTTAGAAATGTGCACATCAGATGAAACACAAATGTACTCTGTTCAAATTGTGATTTAGTTCATTACACCAGCTAAGTATAGTAATTATTTTCATTACTATCACATCTAGATTAAGAGACACAAATGGGATGAAAGAGTTTGCTTGAAAAGTTATCGGTTGTTGATCTGCAATGAAACTCATTACTTTTCCACAGATAGCTATATGGATTATATAAATTTTTGATGTAGCTTCTCATGCCTAACGTTCATTATCAAATACGCTATGCATGTAGCATAAATTCAACCTGACTTTTAATGTGAATAACTTCACAAGAAATGGTCATCATAATTTTCATTAAATTTCTAGGAAAATATTGGTACTTATCAAGATTTTAATATCTATGTATATGAGTGATTAATTTGCTATATGTGTATATTTTTGAAATTAAATTTCCTTGGAGGATGAATGTAATATATACACATTTCTGATCTTTAGATAGAAGCAATTAGTTTGCTTTAAATTTGGCTTTGCGGTATGAAATAGGAATGAATATACAAAAATTAACAAATGAGGCCAATTGTTAGGTCTTGCTTTATAACAAATATGACTAGGGAATATATCCCCTCTATTTGATCAGTACAGAAGGCTCACGGTGGTTGTAACTGGTTGACAGGGGATACTTACTCCTCCTAGGCACCTGATCCCACCTCTGAAGTTTTAAGAGTTCTGTGTTTTATGCCCAGAGTAAGAGGTTAATAAGTATGAAGCAGACAACCTTCTTTCAGTGGTGATGTAATATTATTTGAATATTACAAACAGGTCAAACCGGTTACTTCAAATCAAATCCGACTTACCGATAGATTATTTTATCCCAAGTAGAAATTACTTCTAGCAAATTAATACTCTAGAATTTTAAATATCAAACTGTGCTTTCAAAATGTATGAACATGAAAATAAAAGCTGAGTTCCAATTGAATTCAAACAAGGTTATAAAAAAAATCACTAAGTGTAAGCAGCAGCAAAATTTGCCAGCTGAGCTAATCCTTGATCCTTAAAGTAACTTCCCAACCTGGCATTAAGGTGAAATATGCCTCTGCTCTTATTTCACGATTTTTTTTAAATTCCCAGCATTGATTTTCATCAACATCAATAGCATTAGATTCAAATGGAAAATTGTTTGAAGTATGAAGCGTAATTGCTTACTTTTTCCAAAATTGAATATTATTTCTAATCATGATATGAAGAAAAAATTGAGACAGTGGATAGAAAGATCAACAATTTTTTATTTCAACATAAAATAAAATATTTGAGGTACTAGTATATATGAAAATAATGTATACCGTCATACCTATTTAATTCATTTAAGAAAACATAATGAAGCATTGCTTTTTAAATCAGAATATCACATTGTTTTCTGTGCTTGTAAAATAAAAAAGCATCCATCTACAAGAGTTCTTTCCATCTACAGGAGTTATCTTTCTTCAAAATAAAATTGATCATGAAACTTTTGCATCTGATACATGATAAATTCCTTAACAATTAAAAGAGTTATATGTTAAGAGATAGAAATATCTCAATTTTAACAGTCAAAAAGAACACAGTACAAATGTTTTAGGTAAACTATTGTAAGTAATTATTTAAAATATTGGAAAAAAGAAAATAGAGATCAATATTTGTAAGGTAGTTCAGATTCGAATGAATTGACTTTATAATGTTCCTCATTATTAAAATCTGATAAGACATTGAATAATTTCCTTGGAAAGTTATCACTCTTATCAGAGGAACATTACACCTTAAAGTCTAGTTGATGTCCCATGAAGAGTTAATTATCATGGTGGCATGTGTGCAGTCTACTTCATACAGAACCACCCCCACCTGAAGTCTTTTTCTTTTCAAAATACCTCTAAATTCTTGGTACCAAACTACATTTTACAGCAGGCTTGCCTTAAAGGACATCATGACCAAAATACATCTATCTCAAAATTAGCCTTTATTTGACAATTGCTCTGAGGTATTAAGGATTAATTATTAATTCATCAAAATAAACCCTCAACAGTAAGAAAGATTTAGAAACTTTAAAATATTTTGCCATATTTTCATCTTTTAGGCCTTATACTATAGATCTCCGAAAAAATAGTTTTAAAAAAATGGCATGAAAAAGGCTCTATCTGTTCTTCATTTTTGTCATGCATATTAAGTCTGGAATTTAGTGACATACCAGTTTTTGTCATTAATCTTTACAAAATACATCAAATATCTTTCAAATTAATTAACTAAAATATATTACATTATAAGTTTTTTGTACATGATGGCTAAACTAATACAAGTTTTTCTACTGAACATCGGAATATTTTTACCCAGAGTGTTTAATGGAACATTGATAATGATTTGATTGACTAATCTTTTAGTTAATTATGCTTGATAGCAAGAGACAGTATAATGCACTTTTTCTAATGTATCGATAGAGAAACCTGCATGAGGCGATCAAGTAGGTGATAAAATTTGATGGATCATCACCAATTTCGTAAAAAAGGCGGAGTACTTGCACTTAATATGTTTCTGGAGGTTAATATATGTCTGGAATTTGTTGTGTTTTGTAGAGTTTAGACGCAGGCTTTAGAAATGCGACAGATGGTAGAGTTTTTGGCAGATCATGTAGCCATAAATTGTGGGAAATAATTGTTAGGCATTAAAGTAGTGAGTTTAGTGTAAGCCATTTCTGCATGTGTTCCCATTATGAACAGTATTATGGTGTTTTGTGATTATGGATTTCCTGCAAACAAATCTATTTCAATTATATTAGGAATACATGTATTAAGTAAATAGTCTTGTATCAATGTATTTGTATTATTCGCATGCTTTTATTATCAAAGTTTTTCATCAATCCCTAAATAATGAAATGCAGTCAATTGTAATGAAATGCGTTCCAACCGTTATTACTTGATACATGCAGCTGTAATAATAAGTCGCTTAAATTTATAGTAGAAAATGCTGGGGTCTCCCTAGTGTATGTATATACATGTATATTAAATAAATGCTTTGCTGAGTGTAGGACTCTTTCACTAATATAAAAGTATATCATAAACTGGAAACTACCCAAATGAGTGTTTTCGAGATTTTGTCTCACAGAAATTACTAGACTGAGGAGAAATTAATGAGATGTTTCAACCTACCTTTCACTTACCCATCTCCTATTTGCCAAGTTGAGAGTATTAAAGTATGCTCATTAAAGTCTATAAAATTCCAACCTAATTATACTCGATGCTTCGGCTTTGGAGCCAGCTGCAGATTGGTTCATTCCTTCTAGCTGCCACAGAGAAAAATAATATAAGCTTTATAGTTCTGTGATAGAGAAATTTTCATATCTTTTTCAGAAATTAGAGACATTTAATGGGAGTTCAAAATCATTACCAGGAAAACTGACTTGGTTGAGGTGTACTATAATGAGTATATTGTGAGGAAATACATCAGAAACACAATTTACACGGATTCTCAAATGAGCTTATTTCAAAAGTCAAAAGGCTAACGTTTATAATAACGTGACCAATTAGTAGCTTGCGAGATATTGTATGCAATATAAGCCTACTGTTAAAAAAATCTACAGTATTACTTCTTTGTAGTCGTGTTGCCGATTTTTATTTCACAGTATGAAACATTAGCAACTAAATATTTATGCTAATATCATCTAACAAATTTCGTCTCACAACGAACCCAGTGCACAAACATACATGTACCAGTGAACAAGAAGGGTAAAAATGTCATCTATTAATACAGATATATGTTTGATAAGTGCAGTAGGTAGAAATTCACTGATTCAGACGTTTATAAACCTAATCTTTAACGATTTATTCTGTATTCCTTTTAATCTTTAGCTAAAACCAGACACAATCTTGCAGATCATACAGCTACAACTCCGTGTAGATTTGATAGATATATGAAAAATTCTTGGCTCAAAGCACGAGATTAAAATTTTTGTCAATGTAGCTGTGATGGCATTTAAACAGAAATTTTATATAATCTGATATCGAAGATATTTTGATCTTTCAGTGGCACCAATGTGTTTTCTGTATAAAGAGCCTATCACCCTTTACTACGTGTTTAGAGAGATGTATGTGCGCTATTTCTTCAGACTCCACAGTATTGCTTCACATCCACAGGTATAGATTGTACAAGATTTATTACAGTGTATGTATTGAAATTTGAAATAATCTTCCATTTGTTTAAAGATGCTGTAGATCGTAAAAATTTGTTGGATAAAACAGAAGTTGAAAAAAACAACACAAAAATGCTAAGGCATATTGTCTATACTAGATATATGTACACTAAACTTTTAGAAGAAATGCAAAAAAGAGATCTAGCAGTTTTCCTCTTGAGTCCAGTAGTTCAAATGTTCGCCAGTTCTAATCCACTCTTTATTTTTTTTTATTGCAGGGAATTGTTGGCCTGAGTCTACTCTTTGAATCACTTCTTCAGACACACGAATCAGATCTGTTCTTTCACCTCAAGTCTGTTGGATGTCAACCGTTAGTATTTGTTCAGGATGTATGGTGTTTTGTATTGCAGATATAATTCATATTTTTCCCTTCAGTTTTATTTTTTTTCTTTTTTTGCTTTTTACATACATGTATGGGGACAAAAGAAATTCGTGTAAATAATATTGTACATAGTTAAATCAAAATCAGGAATGAGTAGTCAATAAAAGAGATCGAAAACCGTGAATCAAAAATGGAACAAAAATTATCCATGAAAGAAAGCTGAATACAGTACATGAACATACAGTTTTCAATCATCTGAAAGATAAGTTCAATTTAATATATTCTCTTAGCCATGTAGGAAAACAATTTGTTACTGAAAAATCTACAGTGTTTATTAATTAGTTCTTTTTCATAATTTAATAACCTTAGCGTCATGCATATTGGAATAATTTTTACGTCAGAATTATAATAAAACTCCAGTTTTAAATCGCGGACAATTAACAGAAATTGCTTCGCGTTTATAGAATTACTATAATTGAAAATGTAAAAATCGAGATATGATTGATATCTTCTCCCTGTTAGCAATCTAGAATCTAGGAATGTTATTCTCTTGTGGGAAGTAATGAATGAATAAACGCCTTTTTTGAGAATGATGTTACAGACAACTGATGTTCAAGGGTAGTTTGTGTTAATGAATATGGACTGCAAAATTATTTCAGTATCATTTAAAATTCATTTTGCTACAGTGTATTTTACAGAGCTCGTGTTTTCATCTGCCTGTCATGGTATACATCTATATTTTCATGATTATGAATAAATGCTCTCTCAATTTCTCATAAATATGTAAGATTGTATGTACAGCTTATTTTGAAAAAAAAAAATTGTCAAATTTGTCTGATTTGGGGGATAAAAAGAAAAAAGGACATATGACTGGGTGCATGCACTTTACATATTATATCTCAAGTTTCTACCATTTGATAATGTATTTGCGTATAAATAAACTCTTTGAAGTGAAGTAATAGATGAGCTGAGAGCTAAATTTCAAACATCGCTGTACTCTCGCGAGAGTTCATCCTAATCCAATTTTTGTGTGAGGTGGTGGTCTTGACAGTCGATCAGTATTGGCACTCCGTCATGGAATTCTTCACAAAACTGAATTTTAAGATAAAGAGAAATGAATCATTTTGTTTTATTTATTTCATATTTACTTTCAAAATATTTTTGTATAAACCTCATTTATTTGGATATTTTAACACAACAGTATCTTACATGTATTTGTGTTCCCTTGTAGATTTGGACATATTGCACTTCTGTTTCAAAAATTGGTCTTTCTTGATACGATATTGGTTTTGAGTATATAATAAGTTTAAAAAAAAGTTATTCCCCCTATTTTTTTGTAATTTCCACGTCCTTCCTGCAGGGTTAAAATGAAATTGACCTCCTATTCAAGTGTCATCAAAAATGTGCATATGACCTTTTGCGGCATGCGCTTTGTGGATTCCCGCGTAAATGTGTTAACTTTGATTTTTATATTGAAATTCGTTGTTAGAGGTTCCAATATAAGGGAATGAACTCTCTATATTTGGCTGTACTGTACAAGAAAGAAAACAAATTTACGATGCACATGTACATAAAACCAGGTCCCATGAACGAAAAATCGTGCGAGTATAAAGGTTTTAATCTAGAAAATGATTAAAATTTGTAATTCATTTGTAGACTTAAGGTAGCATTTAAGTGGCTTGTACGTGCCTTTTCGGGATACCTTTCCAGTGACCAGGTGCTTTTGTTGTGGGACCGCATCCTAGCATACAACTCATTGGAGATCTTGTCAGGTGTGTGGTCATTTTTTATGTCATAAACAGAAAAAAAAAATTTCATCAGAGGAACATTGCTACACGAATGATCAGCACAAATCTTTAATTTGCGATTATTGGATTTTTCAGGTGTAAAAATTTTAGTATCTAAGAAGCACGTTTATCTGTGATTAAAGAGATATTGATTATAGATATTTTTTAACAATTTCGTTGCACGAGTTTGCTCGTTATTTTATTTTATGGAGCACTTTGATTTAATGGATTGGATACTTCAAAGATGTGGATAGCTTTGATTAAAATGTTTTTAATTATATGTAGTTTTGTTTAACTCTTGTTATTCAATATAAAACATCGTGATGCGCACAGTCTTATCAGCAGTTATAATCAATGGTTTGTTCTTCCAGTGTTGGCGGTGGCAATATTTTCCTTCAGAAAGACCAATTTAATGAAGGTTCAATCCTATAACGCAGCAGAGGTAACTCAATTCCACCTGTATTTTATTCACTTTGATGAAAAAGGATTTTTTTTCTTTTACAAAAGATGTATTCATAAACCAATGTATTCAATATTCCAAGTGACAAAACTAAACAGTTATAAAAACATGCCTAGTTTGAATGGAACGTAGCGGGATTCTGAATTATTTTTATCATTGTCACTTTATCTTCTTCTTGATGATTGTGTGAACTCAGTCAAAACATTTTTATGTCCGCAACATGGCTTTTGGGCATGCTTCTTGGTTTTGGATTTAGCAGTCTCTTCATTAGTAACTATTTTTTTTCGAAAATATAAGGACAGGCGATGTATTCTTTTCCCAAATGAATGCACTGTTTCAGTAAACATTGCATTAAGACGTACATTTGACTAAGTCTTTATTTTTTTTATTGATCTGCAATGTTTGTCGTGAAAAGGCAATGAGAACAGTAAAGTAAAAACTCCAGTCGGTGAATATTGTACTCATTCGGTATCTAAATTGTCGTATTGACCTCAAGATCAAAATTAAATGAATATTGCTGACCTGGTGATTAAATTTTTGGAATATTCAAACACTTGCTACTAACTATATATGTATTTCAGATCCCCATTTAGGAACCCAATTAAAATCTGAAGTATAATTCCAAATCTGATAGTGACTCTGTTCACCAATGTCGAAAGGAAAGAACAAACTTGCTTATTTTCTGAGAGTTGAAGTTAATAAAACAGTCACATAACTTTTAGATGACAAATGATACACTATAATTATACTTTTTCTGAAGTTATTGGGAACTATCTATATGCCGCATCTATCTACCTACTTGCACAATGTTGTATATCAGTGGGTTTTTTTTTCATATAACATTTTGCCTCTGTTCGACTTGTTCTAAATTTTGACTTGATGCCTGGATGGATGTAAATACAAAATTTACTAGAGCTGTTTTGTTTTGTGCTTGAAAACTCAACTTAAGAAAATTTGAAATTTTACCCATATATATATATATATATATATATATATATATATATATATATATATATATATATATATATATATATATATATTTCTTTTTGAAGAAAAAGTTAAAGAATTTACAGAATTTCTTAATTATTTCTTAAATAATTTTCAACTTTTTAAAATAGCTTTTGGAGGACATTATTAGACTTTTATATTAATATTCAGTGCTATTCCCATCTCCAGTTGGTAAGTTGTCTTGTTCAAAATTTGATATTTACCGGGTGGGGGTAAATACAAAATTTAGAGTCATGCAATGTTCTAAAATTTGTATTTACCCCCATCCGGTAAATTCAAAATCTAGAACATGACAAAGTAATTAGAAAATTTACAAAAAAAAGACTTGCAAGCGTTTATATCTCCTTTGTATTTTACAGGCAGTTTTAGCGGATTTGACGACGTTACAAGTTATTCCCTTAATTCAGTTAAGTCTCTTCTCCAAGTGAATGTTCACTGATGAAGTAACTGTCAACACGCCGCATCCACTGGGTCTAATCAGAGGAGCTATGGTGACATTAAACACAGGACAGTCGGCACCATAAGCTGAATTATTGAGATGGGAATTTGTCATTATTTCAGATACTTCATCATTATATGACTGTGATATTACATATGGGTAGTTTTATTGTTGAGGACATTGTCGATTTTGTTCATATTAGTTTTTTATAATCTGGAAGAAATATACGTGTGTTTTGAATATGACAATTCTTCAAATAAAATTATTATTATATTTAATGACTTTTTGTTATGTTTTGCTTAAGTATATTAATAGTATCTATAGTATAATGAGAAGAATCCATTCGGAGTATAAAGTTACGCGAAGCGGTTTATAAAAAAAAAAAAAGCGTAAACTGTTCCAATCCAATTTTATTCCGTATAAATTGGGCAGCTATTAAATTTATTACTTATATTTTATTTTCATTCATTTGATGTAAGAAAAAAAAAGATGATTGCCCTTAAAAGTGACTTCAATTTGTACAAAATTTGAATGCAACGTCAGGCGGGTCGATACGTTTTTCAAGCAAGTCATTGTGACGTAGGCAACCCAATTTATACGATATAAAGTAAATTTTTTATCCAATGAAATACCGCGTTACACCCAGAATTAAATTATACTAAGATACACAATTCTGTATAACGGTTTCAGATTTAGGTGAACGGTGTTGCCATGGTTACAAAAAATAGATATTTCTGTGAAATACTTTTTTAAAATGCAACTCCTTCAACAGTTTTGGTCTGATTTCAATATAACTTGGCACACAAGTAGACTGTACCAAGATACACAATTCTTTTTATAAGTTTTTGATTTTGATGAACGGTGATGCCATGGTTACTAAAAAGAAATTTCTATGAAGTTCTTTCAAAACTCTACTCCTCCTACAGTTTTGGTCTGATTTCGATATAACTTGACACATAGGTAGATTATACCAAGATACACAATTCTGTATATCGGTTTTAGATTTTTGTGAACAGTGTTGCCATGGTAACTAAAAATGGAAATTTCTGTGTAATACGTTTAAAATGTTACCCCTCCTACAGTTTTGGTCTGATTTCAATATAACTTGGCACACAAGAAGACAACACTAAGATACATAATTCTGTACATCGGTTTTTGATTTCGATAAACGGTGTTGCCATGGTTACAAAAAATACAATTTCTGTTGAAATACTTTTAAAATGCTTCTCCTCCTATAGGGGGGGGGGTTTATTAAATGTTTACATAATGCCTGCAAACAGAAAAAGAGTCCTTAGAAAATCTTTTACATAAGAGCAATGTTTTTTTATCTTATTGGTATTGAAGCATCCCATGTAGTGTAGATTCAAGTTCAATTAAAACATCGACTATTCGGGCTAGGGTAGGGCCACAATGGGGGCCAAAAATTTTATGACCCAGGTGAGTATTGTGATCCATGGTCCTCTTATATCGATAATGAAACAAAATGTATATGGCAAACAGAGCTATGCCTTGTTTTAAACACTATATGTTTAATCATTCTTTATTTTAATGCCAAAGATGGTTTGCATCCGAGTATATTTCTTAGTGAAGACTAAAAGAGCTTTACTACAGTGTATATGTACATTTTGTCCAGGAAGCTATGAGTACAATACAAACCTATCCCGTGCATTGGCGTGGCCTCACTCAGTCGGGCTTAGAGGGAAGAGCCACTGGATGCAGTCATCCTTTCCCCTGGGGTTAGGGTCACTATTCAGCAATTGCTCTGGCTTTCGGGAGAAATCAGACTACGGAGGAAGTCTCACTTAAGAACAGGCTGTAAGTTATAATATAATAATTGTAATATAAGGTTCGGGGGATCGTGTAACAGTCAGCTTGTTAGAAATCCGACAAAAAACTAGAAATCAGCCGAAATGCTCTCATCATCGACTTCAAGAAATGAAGGCGATATCTGTAATAAGGCCCTGAGGACTTGTCTAGCTTCTTGGTAAAAAGGATTCGAAAGTCTAATAAATCTGCAGCAATAAGATGCTTAGCACCCAACGGGCTACAAATATTGTTTTTGTTTTAGTTGATGTTACTAAATTGTTCAATTTTAGCGGAGAGTTGTGGTTATCTCTTGTATTATTATCGTTTTCAAATGTAGTGGGAAGATGTCATCTAATTTCAACAGACAGACTCGGCGCCTACGAATCTCGTTTGTATCAATTATAAAAAAAAGAAAGAAAAAAGAATCATATTACCTTACCGGATAGCGCTAACGGACGTCGAATGGACGAAAAAAGGCGACAGAACTAATTTGTTGGTAATCAGTTAATGAAAGTCGTTCCCGCCGCTTTAGCTCTTGGAATCAACGTATCAAGAGTAGAAAATTTAAAAAAAAAACAAACAAACAAAAGCCAAAAACCCAAAAAAAAAATCAAAAACAAACAAAAAACGAACATTTATCAGACTTATACTGTATAAGCAACACTCAACTTAGGAATTTCACCGTTTAAGTAACGAATGCACGGCCAGGAACACGTTAAGTTCCTGGACAGTACCGTTGTCAGAAACCTTTAAAGTTAAGCACTGAAACTGGTTCGTTGTCATGAACATACAGGTGAGGTTATGATAAAATCCGTCCGGTGTCATGCAAAAGATACAAGAATTAATACATAATGCCTAAATTTTTAATGTTTTTGACAAATTCTAAGAATAAATTTGAATTTTGGGAAACAGATACAACATTCAGTATTCCATACAAAGATTTATGTATTTGATATCCACAATACATTTTGAGGAGTTTTGGTTGGCGATCACATGCCCATGAGTGAAGCCATGATCGTGAGCTGGTAAATTATATATTTCCTATATTTAATTCATCGAAATGGTACCTTTATTTTAAAATATGAAGAGAAACTTCATTTTCAATGTATTAGACAACTGACAGCCTTTTGTAGCTAACATGTTTTAAGAAATCGCAATTTATAAGCAAAAAGTCCGTTGTCAGTACATGTTAAGTTTATCTGGTCCGGTGTCATTTTTCTTAACATGTTAGTAAATCAATAAAATGCAACAGAAATGATCAAATATATGCTTTATTTTAAAAAATACAAAGCATATTACAAATATATTTGAATCTCGGGGTCGTCTTAAAACAGCTCACATCAACGTGCTAACTATTCAGCGGTGTTTTTATTTTCAATTCATTTTCTCTTAGGAACCTGCATCCTAGCTAGTATGCAAACATACACAATTCCTTGTATATCATCAGTATAACAAAATTAAAATGTTATGCTTATGTCACATGCCGATGGTCGGGCAACCGAATTATTTTTGTATCGTCGGCTGAATAAACATGGTCGGCCGACACTAGTATCGGGCGACGCAGAGTAGTCACATTAATTCCTAGGAACACCGATACCTTTAAAAGTAAAAATATTTATAATTTGGCCAACCGTCGCCCGATCATCGTTCGCTAGGCCGCAGTTTGATTTTCATCTTCGGCCCACAGTTGTGCGAAAACCCAATTCCTAAATGTCGACCGACTGACGACCGACTTTAAAAACTGTATGCCGATGGTCGGCCGATGATCGAAGGTTGGTGGACGGACTATTCAATGAGTGCTTCAATTGAATCGGCCATAGACGCAAAAAAAAATTATAACTTGACCCGACTGACATACATAAAATTGGTCGGCCGACGAAAAAAAAAATCGGGCAAGACAACGGCCGATAATATGAAACTTATGTGGAAGCATCCTCAGGTAATGTTTGTTCAAATCATGACTTCGGGGGTAGATGGGGCAACAGTGGGCTGTCAAAATTTTACATAGGATAATATAGGAAAAATCTTTAAAAATCTTCTTCTCAAGAACAACAAAGCCATATAATTGGTCATATTTATATGGAAGCATCCTCAGGTAGTGTAGATTCAAGTTTATTCAAATCAAAATTTAACATAGGAATACATAAGGGAAATCATTAAAAAATCTTATTCTCAAGAACAGCAGAAACGTGATTGGTCATCATAAAATAAAAGCATCCTCAGGTAATGTAGATTCAAATTTGTTCAAATCATGATCCCACAGAGGGGCCAAACAGGGGATCATAGTTAAACAAAGGGTTATAAAGGATATATCAATGAAAATTTCTTCTTTAGAAAACAAAGCCATTATTAGTCAGTTCAAATGCATCTTTAGGTGGTGTAGATTCAAGTTTGTTCATGCAAATCATACCCCCCCCCCTCACTTTAATATTTAAACTTTTTAATACTGAACTGATTTCTGTTATTTCCGAACCAAAGTGCTCAGGTGAGCGATGTGGCCCATGGGCCTCTTGTTTTCGGTGGATTTGTAAATGTAATTGGTGTGTAAATCACATTGACGTATCTCGTATGCTATTCATGTAGCGTGATTGTGACGGTACATTTTGTCGACCTGTTCATATTGTCGCCGGCGACGTGTACATACACTCACTAAGCATATTGTCGTCCATTAGTACATGTCGCATGACAATGCATGGCAATGTTTCCACCATTTCAGAACTGGGAGGGGGGCGGTTCAGATTTTTTTTTTGACAAGCCAAAAAAAAAAAATCGTTTGTGTGTGAAGGAGTTTTACTGTACAGTCCCTGAAACGTTCTACTTTCCCACTTGAACGGTGAGCGAACGGTGAACGAAAGCTGAACGAACGCAGAGCGAACGGTGAGTGAACGATGTGTGAACGCTGAACGCAACTTGGTGAACGATGTGTGAACGCTGAACGGTGAGCGAACGCAGAACGCGAACGGAGCGCAAACGCGAACGCAAAGTGAACGGTGAACGAACGGTGAACGCAAGATGAACGATATATTCGGAATGCCTCTAATATTTTCCCTGCATTGAAACTATTTTATTGTATTAAAATGTTAGGTGCCAAAAATAAATAAATAAATAAATAAATAATAAATAAGTAAACCAATAAATTAATGAATGAATAAATAAGTCAATAAATAAATTCTCCAAAATTGTCCTAATAAAGACGATGCATGCACATTAAGTTTTTTAATCACATGATTCTTATCGCATTAAAACATTGCAATTGTTGCCGAACGCTGAAGTATAAACAAATCAGAGAAAACTTCTGACTTATTCCATTCATATATCTCCGTGTCAGGGCGATTTCGTGTAAAGTAATGAAAAAAAAAATAATAACAAAGGTCAGTGGACGTTTTACATTTATACGCTCGTATTTTAAATTTTTAATACAATAATATATTATGTGTCATTTCTATTTTTGAGCAGACTTCTACATG